GGTTTAGGGTTTAAAGTTTAGGGAACCCTAAAACCCCAAACCCTTCACCCTTAGACATAAGACTGACGGCTCGCTGAAGCTTCCGACAAGGAGCAGACAATGCTGAGGTGTACATGGTACCAAGGCCGCGCACATCGTCCACTTGGGCAAAGGAGAAGTTAGAAATCTTCCTGAGACATGTGGGCTCTGGATTTTTTGGCTCAAGGCCCTAGACCCTAAACCAAACACCTACACCCCATACCCTAAACCCTAAACCCAAGTTTAGGGCTTAGAGTTTAGGGAAGCTGTATCAAGCCACCGGAGCCTCAACACCAAGCTATCAGACTCATCAGAAGCTTCAAAAGTTCGAGGCAAAAGACCATTGAGTAAGAAGTCTGCTCGCCTAATTTCTGTGGCGAGGTTGTCTTGAACACCGTCAGAGAACTGCGTCTGTACTAACTGTGATACTAGCCCAGGTAGCCAAGAGTGGGTTCGGAGTGGCCTCATGAAGCTAGTCTCGATGTGCTGCTATGCTGCAGTTGGGCTCATGCCCAAAGACAGTAAGTTTAGGAGGGAGGAGGAACGGAAGGAGAATGCTCAGTCGATATAGAGGTCTCAAGATTTAGAGTAGGGATCTGGGGTAGAAAGAACATCACATAGAGACTATACTGTATGTAGAGGAACAACTCAGACATCTGTGCTACTCAGCATGCGGAGCCCCTGACCTTGAAAATCGTCGGGAGATTCAGGCATCATTGCCCCCAAAAGGACATCTTCGCCCGCCTCTCAATACAACAATGGCCCTGCTCGCGTCGGAAGCTGAGTTTGAAATCGTCGTAGTCGCTAAGCCATGAAGCAGCAACCCATGCAGCCCCGCAGAGCTCTAAGCCCCAAGAAATCGATACGTCAAGACTTATAGAGCTGGCAGGTTACAGCCGCGAATCCTTCCGGCAACAAGAACCATCTTCTGCTCAAGCCTGAACCCTGGAGCTCTGAAATCCAATGCTTTCACACACGGCAGCCCGAGCAGCGCCAAGCGATTGAAACTGAAAGCAATTTTCCGAGAACACACACACACACACCAAGCCCAACTCGCTCTCAAGCCGTGCACTTTGGACTCGGGGTCTCAAATCCCCAAATCCTAGATAGGGAAAAGCACTGATGAAAATTAACAGGCAAGGTCATAGACGCATGTGCGGCCGACTCAGATCCCTTCTTCCTGCAACCCTCGATTCCCAAAGTATAGGGGTTTATGGGGTTTGGGGTTTAGGGGTGTCGGGGTTTAGGGTTTCCTGCTTCATGGGTTTGGGTTTAGGGTTTGGCTAAACCCCATAAGCATCCGTTGAATAAGGGGCTATAGAGAAAGCGCGAAGCACCTGAACTATAAGCCCCCCGGACCCAAACATGAAAACAAGTTTGTCTCTCTCTCTCTCTCTCTCCCTCTGCACACATAGAAAAGATATGTATATTTTAATATGTATTTTATCTCTTAGATTTACCATGAACAGTAATTCCAAAGGAACAACCAGCTAGACCCACCTCTGTACCGGCCAAACTAATTAGAAGAGGGGCTTGGGGAGAATGATCGCAGATTCACAGTAAGGAGCGCCGGGGAATCATGCGAGTAATGAGTAAGCGCCCGAGTAGTCAGCGAAGGTTCCACATGGGTAGTTCTCTAAGTTGGGGTCCCTTTTAGGGTCCTTTTGTCTAGGGTGCTATTTTGGAGGACCCAACAAGGAACCCTAATTGAGAGATACTAAACCCTAAACCCCAAACCCTAAATCCCTAATCCCAGCCTAGTAGAAACCCTAAACCCTAAACCCTATACCCTGAACCCTAAAACCCAATTTAGAGAACCACCCCTTTTGCCTCCGAGGAGCAAGCCGCCGATAGAGACGTCATCGGAGCAGAACTTGCCAGAGACGCCCCCTCAGAGGTTTAGGGCTTTAGGGTTTTAGGGGTTTAGGGCTTTAAGGCTTTAGGGGTTTAGGGCTTTAGGGCTTTTAGGGTTTTAGGGCTTTAGGGCTTTAGGGCTTTGCGGCTTTAGGGCTTTAGGGGAAAGGGCTTTAGGGCTTTAGGGAATGTGGACAGCTGCAGGCTTGAAGTTGAATACATTTCTGGGGTCTGGGGGTGGAGGCGGTTTACCCATGGGCTCATAGTAGTTCCTTTTGGGGATTACCTTGTAGGATTCTAAAGATGAGCCCCAAAAAAGCAACTACTATGGGGCCTATGGGTAGGTCTAAGTTTCATTAAAATAAGGTGTCTAGGGCTTCGGGGCGCATTTTGCAGGAACACTTCTCGAAGGTTGAGTGCCAGTAAAGAGCTTGTCAGAAGTTCGGGCTTAAAACGTAGGATCAGGATCCCTTCACGGGTCCTTCTGAAATCAGTGCGCTAACTTTCGAGTTCTAGTCTCGACCTGAACGGTAACTTCGCGAGCTAGCAATCCTAAAGCACTAAAGCCCTAAGTGGCCCACCAAAACCCTGAACTACTCTAATTATTGGGGTCCCTAAACCCTAAACCCTTATAGTAGCCCTTATAGAACCCTTTAAGGAACCATCCTAATTATTGGGGTCCCTAAACCCTAAACCCTTATAGTAGCCCTTATAGAACCCTTTAAGGAACCATCGCAGGAACCCCAAACCCTTATAGTAGCCCTTATAGAACCCATCGCAGGAACCCTAAACCCTTATAGTAGCCCTTACCCTTTAGGGAACCATCGCAGGAACCCTAAACCCTCATAGTAGCCCTTATAGAACCCTTTAGGGAACCATCGCAGGAACCCTAAACCCTTATAGTAGCCCTTATAGAACCCTTTAAGGAACCATCGCAGGAACCCTAAACCCTTATAGTAGCCCTGATAGAACCCTTTAAGGAACCATCGCAGGAACCCTAAAC